ATGGAATTTATTAAAACAAATTTAGTATCAAACAAGTAAAATATTTCAACAGTATATCAATTATAAAATATTTAAAAAAAAATAAATGGAAATATCCATTTATGAAATCAACTTTCTATAATTTCTCTTAATATTAACTAATACAAATTTATAATCTTTAACAGTTAATTAAACTTTGATTAAATAACTGATTAAAATATTTTTTCACAAGATTTTTAAAGTGTTAAAGTATATAGTTCATTTTTGTTTAATCTCCAATTTCTGGGGAGGAAAATGGAAGTTAAATAAAGGTGAATTTGCACAATTAATAGCTTTATTAAACTCTTATAATTTGCCTTTTTAAAGGAATATTAAAAGATGAATAAGTGTTAAATCAGTTATTTTGATATAACTAGCTGTAAAGATTATGAAATTTAGCTTTCTTCCCTTAACTATTTTTCCTTTCTTCTTTAATTTTCTTGTTGTTCAAAAAAATTCTGAATAAATGGTCTAAATTTGAAATGTGGGGGAACATTCCCCTCCCGCGACATGTGTCAGCCAGAAATAGATATTCACAATGGAGGACGCCGCGGCCGAGGTAGGTTTACAGTTTGAATTTGTTAACACTTGTATCTGTTATATATGTTCATTTAAATATTTCACTGAAACAACTTAATATTAACACATAAAATCCGGTTTAAAAGAGATCTATGACATAATAAAGAAGGGGTGAAATGTCGCTGGAATTTTATCTGAAGATCCCCGTTCCAGCAGATCTCTTTTTCCAATTTATTTCAATTTAAAGTTTTTTGTGTATGTCTGGTCTACCATTAGGGTTTCAAAACATAATATCCAAACTTATAACAAATGTTAATTCATACTATAGATATATTACTAAATACAACTATTTATAATCATATTATAAAATAAAAAAACCTTTAAAAATCTTTAAAAAAAAAAGGATAAAATATAAAATCATAAAAATATATATATATATATACTAACAATCTTATCTACCTTCTTTATAAAACTCTTTTTTTTTTTTTTCCTTATTATTAGTTTGATTAAAAGTGCATGGTTCTGTCTTTCTCTCTTTTTTCTAACTATTATATATATTCTCTCTTCGATTATTCTATATATAGGATTAGAGTATGTCTGAATGACGTGTAAAAGCCGATGTAATAGACGTTACGTTGTTAATTTTTATTGTTATTAATTATAAATATATAATTAACTTGAGGATGTAGTAGAAGTAAAGGATTTTTTTTTTCTCTCTCTATCTACAAATTAATAACATTTTACAAATTTTATAATTTGAATTTAAATGATCATAATAGTGAAGATAATCTTAATACAAAACTGGACTATAAAATTAAATAACTATTTATTATTATATATATATATATATATATATAAATATCTAGAGATATACTACATGATCTTAGCCAAAAGGCCGAGAAAAGATATTTAATATATAGAGATGACCTGGCCCCGTGTGTCTTCTGCTCGAGTGAATGTTTCGTTGGTAGAATTTTGTTCTCGCCTACTAAAAATTATTATCTTGATTCGCCCGTGGTCTTCTTTAGTGAATATATCTCTAAAGATTTTTTAAAAATGTAAATCTAGCTTGATACAGCAATATTGTCATCATCATTTCTGACTAAAAAAATATTGTTTCTCAGTACATGGTTAATTATAATTTTTCTTGGTTAAAGCGGAACAATCAGTGCCCACAACGGTCCACCTTGCCTGGGCAGCGTGCCGATCATCTTC